TGTCAAAGCGTAGAGAGTGCCAATATTGTTCAAGATGGATAGGGCGAACACAACTCGACATATGCTAATGGTAGCAATGAAGGTTGTCGGCCTTCTAGAGTTAATCGTGCTCTGGAAGAGTAGCCGCCCAAAATGTTTGACCTTGTTAGGTACCCTAAAACCCCATATCATCCCATCGACGTCTTCATGTGGTGTGTAGGTGCCCTTACTGTAGAATGATCGAGCCGTTGACGAGGAACTAGTCAACATTTTCATTGTTGCACTGAAAAATCACACAACAAAGATATTGACAGAATCAACTATGCAAAAGCAAATTGAAGCTATGTGATTTCAAAGGTTAAATTCCAACCCATTTCACATTATAATGCAACAATCGCATTGGCTTTTCTAGGCCTCCTTTGATTTATAGGATAGAAATATCATGAGAATAGGAAAACTATAGGAAATGTAATGACAATGTATCTCAATTCCTATAGGGAAAGATACATCATTTGCTTCATTGGAAAGAACTTTTTCATTTGGTCTAGGGTAATGTTTGTTGTTCCTTTGACATGTGAAAGATTGGTTCCTATCCTACATTGAAATAAGTATTCATTTCTACAAACCAAAGGGCTTCAAAGGAATTTTTTCCTACAGACTTCCTATCCTTTAGAATTTCTACAAAATTCCTATAAACGAAAGGAAGCCCTAGAGTGGCAGAAAAGGTTCAGGAAGGCATTTGTCAAAGGTAAGCGGTGATGCTAAGATCTAGCAAATCATGTGATGTGTCAATTTTTGGTAGGAGAAAGAAAATATGTTGAAGGGTTTGTTGTTTTGCAAATTAATGAGGGGTAGGTGTGTGGTAAGGCTAGGACGTTTTGGTTTTGTAGGTGGAATGAATTGATCCAAAGTGTGCCTAAGGCAAGAAGTAACTTGAAAATGAAATAAGTATAAGTATGCAGATAACAACATGGAAATTTTAAATGTCTGGACCCCCCCCCCACTCCCACCATAAAAATCTCCATAAGAAAAAAGATGTTTCGTGCGATCACATCGATATCTTTGGTCACATTAGTATGAAGCCTAAAGACCAAAAATTCATGTTTTTCTGCGGAAATCCAACCCGACCGTTGGGAGCATATGCCCTTGCGCATAAAAAAGTATTATGCAAATGTCAAAAAAGTTTGAAAAAATAGATGTTCTCATTGTCACACCTAAAGTCTATGCTTAAGCATTTTGACCTACGCAAAAAAATTCGAACGCCAAATGTTACCTCCAACATTACACTTAATTTTGTTTATTTTTCACCGAAGAAACACAACTATCCCGTTTCGCATGAAAGTTTTCAAGCACACTTGTTACACTGACAATAACATCTACAACAAAATTAGAATGTTTAAAATTTAATTACTATTTGTTTTGAATTTACTGTCCGTCTAGGAGCATTTGCACCCTAGAGCCAAAACATCCATCCCATTTTTCAGTTCGCTCATTCAAAATAACTGTAAAATATTTGTGGCACTGCAGTGAGTTCAAAATCTTATCACCCGCAACAAACACATTGATGATAATGTTAACTGTGCTCTGGAAGAGAAGTCAAGCAAAATGTTTGATCTTATTAGGTACCCTATTGCTCAATATCAACCCATCATTGTTTTCTTCATGGAGTGTGTAAGTGTCCTTAGTGGAGGATGACCGAGCCGTTGATGAGGAACCAGTTGTCATTGTTGAACTTGGAAATGACACAACAAAGATATCGACACAGTCAACTATGTATAAGCAGTTGAGGTTAATCGACACGTGATTAAGACAAAAATTACATTGACGTTTCTAGAGTGGGAGAAAGGGTCCAGGAAGGCATTTGTCGAGGGTATGTGGTGATGTCGAAGATCTAGTAAAACAAGGTGATATGTCATTATTTGGCAGGACAAAAAACATGTTGAAGGGGCTTGCTGTTTTGCAAATAAATAAGGGGTAGGTGTGTGGTAATGCTAGAAAGTTTTGGCATTATAGGTGGAATGAATTAATCCAAAGTCGGCCTAAGGCAAGAAGTATCTTGAAGAAAATTTATAGGAGTAAACAGCTTTCAGCAAGCACATTCTAAATGCCTACCCCCACTCTCACCCCAAAAAATATCTCCATCTGAAAAACATGTCCCACGCAAGTACGCATTTCACTGGTGCAAGATTCATTTGTAGGATAGAAAAAGCATGAGAGTAGGAAAACCATAGAAAATGTAATGATGTGTATCTCAATTCCTATATGGAAAGAGACGTCATTTGATTCATAGGAAAAAACTTTTTCACTAGGTCTCGGGTAATGTTTCTTATTCCTTTGACATGTGAAAGATTGGTTCCTATCGTACATTGACATAAGTATTCATTCCTACAAACCAAATGGCTTCAAAGGGTTTTTTCCTACAAACTTCCTACCCTTTAGAATTTTTAGAAAATTCCTACAAACGAAAGGAGGCCCTAGTGTGACAGAAAAGGTTAGGAAGGCATTTGTCAAAGGTAAGCGGTGATGCTAATATCTAGCAAAACATGTGTTGTGTCATTTTTTGGTAAGAGAAAGAAAGTATGTTGAAGGGTTTGTTGTTTTGCAAATTAATGAGGGGTAGGTGTGTGGTAAGGCTAGGACGTTTTGGTTTTGTAGGTGGAATGAATTGACCCAAAGTGTGTCTAAGGCAATAAGTAACTTGAAGAGAAAATAAGTATGAGTACGCAGATAACAACATGGAGATTTGAAGAGAAAATAAGTGTGAATTCGAAATCCTATTACCCGCAACAAACACATTGATGATAGCGTTAACCTTGCTCTGGAAGAGAAGCCAAACAAAATGTTTGATCTCGTTAGGTACCCTATTGCTCATACCATCCCATCATCGTTTTCTTCATGTAGTGTGTAAGTGTCCTTAGTGGAGGATGGTCGAGCCATTGACGAGGAACCAGTTGTCATTGTCATTGTTGAACTTGGAAATCACACAACAAAGATATCAACGCAACCAACTATGTACAAGCAGTTGAGGTTAATCGACACGTGATTAAGACAAAAATTACATTGACGTTTCTAGAGTGGGAGAAAAGGTCCAGGAAGGCATTTGTCAAGGATAAGTGGTGATGTCAATGATCTAGCAAAACAAGGTGATATGTCATTATTTGGCGGGACAAATAAAACATGTTGAAGGGGTTTGCTGTTTTGCAAATAAATAAGGGGTAGGTGTGTGGTAAGGCTAGAAAGTTTGGCGTTATAGGTAGCGTGAATTAATCCAAAGTGTGCCTAAGGCAAGAAGTATCTTGAAGAAAATTTATATGAGTAAACAGCTTTCAACAAGCACATTCTAAATGCCTACCACCCACTCTCACCCAAAAATATCTCCATCTGAAAGACATGTTGAACGCAATTACGCATTTCACCGGTGCAAGATTTGTTTGTAGCATAGAAAAGGGGTTGTCTAATTGCATCAATATCTTTGGTCACATTCCTAGGAAGCCTAAAAGCCAAAATTTAGTGTTTTCTTTTCGAGAGTACAAATTTCGTGTTTCTCCGTCCATTAATTCCAAAAAAACCGTTGGATATTTTGTTTCATCACGGTTCGCCGGTGAGTTCAAAGCCCTATGACCGGCGACAAACACATTCATGATAATGTTCACGAGGAATACAAAATCCAGCCACGGATACATGCATGTTTTTGTACTACTTGATTGAAAACACGTGCGTATTTTGGTATCATGGCCATGGAGGTCAATGGTCGATTCCCCCTCATCAAAGTCAAAAACAAAGAAAAAAGATTCCCCAGGGCATCTAAACCGTCGTCGTCCTAATCCACAATCATGATATATCCGTTTAAGGCGTTAATCACCGCACATGCCGCGGGGCCCCACCCCCCGGACGCCCGCGTGACCAGCCCCCCTCTGCCCCCACTCCGCCCACCGCACGGTCCACGCAGCGGCACTGACTGACGCGTGGCCCACCGCCACTCCCGTCGCGCAGCCGGTCAGGCGGGACGGGGACGGGGCTGACAGCTAGCCGGTGAGAAAAAAAAGGCGCGGCCGGCCACCTTCCTCCGCGGAAAAGGGCGACGGACCACGGCGGGAGGTACCCCGGCCCCACTGCCCGGTGGCCCCGGGGATAGCCACGGCCCCACCCCGCCCATCCTCTTTTTCACCGCGCGGCGCGATTCAAAACTCACCGCACGCATGCACGCACGCTCCTTCCTCCCCCCACCGGCGTGCCGACGGCCCACCCAGCCCGGGCCCGCGAGTCATCGAGACGGGGCGCATACCGGAGCCCCACATGTCATGGAGAAGGAGTGGTTCTGTTGGGGCGGTGGGGCCCACGCTTCACTGGCTCATTCTCACTCTCACTCACTGGCTCACTCACTCCCTTCTTTTTCTCTCGCATTTCATTTCCCTTTTTCTTTTCTTGCTGTCGCCGTCACCTCACCTTGCTGCTGCTGCTGCTACTACACTACCATCCAGCCAGAGCCAGTGCCCAACTCCTCGGCCGCCTCTCCCTGGAAGGAATGGAGGCGTAGGAGGGCGTCCGAGCCAGGCAGACAGAGAGCGGGAGCTAGGGTTCCGCCGCATCCTCCTCCTCCGGTGAGTGACCCAGCCGTCGCTCCCCAGATCCGTCCGCCCGCCGCCGCCCCCTAGATCTGCGCTAGGGCGCTGCTTCGACCGTTTTTTCCGGCCGGGCCCGAGGCTCCGGGCGCTGCATTCGGCGGCGGAGCTCCCCGCGAACTGCCCGGGCCGCGGATCTCCTCGCCCCCTCTCCTCTTCCGTGCCTCGTTTGATCCGTTTCTGGGTTTCTTTTCTCATTTTGAAATTAGTTGCCGTGGTTGCTTTCACTGCGACAGTGCTCATGATCTCGGGGGGTTTGAGTGGATGCCGCGGGTTCTGCCGGTTTTTCTCTGTGTAACAATTAGCTGCGGCGTAGATCTGCGCGCTGACGTGTCCGTCCGGCGGTTCGGCTGCAGGGTCCCAGGCCTCCGGCGCGCGGCGGGCTAGGAGGCGGCTCCGATGGGGAAGTCCCCGGCCAAGTGGCTCAAGTCCGTGCTCTTCGGGAAGAAGACCTCCAGGTCTGGCTCCGCCAAGGCCAAGGATTTATCGGTATGTCAATACTTGGATTGGAGGTGAAAATTGAAATTTTTCCGAGGATTCCGCGGAATCGCCTGCAACTGGAGAGCAGAGATCTGCTGATTGCAACTGATGCTTTTGTTGTTTTCCATGCGTAGAAGGCCGGGGGCAACAGAGGGTATGTTGCTGCCGGGAAGGAGCCCGGGTTCTCGGAGAGCTCCCCGGTGATCTCCGAGCCGGTGCTTGTTACCCCGCGCAACAATGACGCTGTGCCGGAGGTGGGGAAGGGCGAGAATTCCAGCTCGCAAGGCGAAGCGGCGGCTCAGCAAGAAGTGAACCATGATTTGGAGAAGCAGAGCACTGCCGGGTCTGATGTGCTGTCCAATGACCCGGAGCGGCTCAAGGAAGAACAAGCAGCCGTCAAGGCCCAAGCTGCCTTCCGAGGCTACCTGGTAATGCTTATCTTGATGTTGAAATTTCTTCTGTTAAAATGATCAGAAAAAGGGCAAAAGTTATTGTGTCACACCTCTGTGATTATTTATGATTTAATAGTGTTCCTATTCATTTGAATTCCTGCATACACACATGATCATTTCACCCTCTTAATGTTCTTTTTTTTTGCGGTTGTTAATGTTCTTATTAAGCTGCTACAAAAGAAATTCTTGGTATAGCCATTTGGTTTGTTTTCCTTTACAACCATGCTAATTTTAGCATCACATTGGAACAGGCACGTCGGGCTTTCCGTGCATTGAAGGGAATCATACGACTTCAGGCGCTGATTCGTGGCCATCTTGTAAGGAGGCAAGCTGCTTCAACTCTCCGTGCCACATGGTTGATTGTGAAGTTCCAAGCTATTGTTCGTGGCAGGAATGTCAGACTTTCTAGTGATGCAATTCAATTCAGTTGGAAGCTTGCCGAGCAGAAGTCTGTGGTAAATTCCTTACTCATTCTAGTTCCTCCAATACCTGATATATTGTTCATCGTGGGAGCAAAGAGTGCTCCTTTTTATCTTTTCAAACTTTATAATCTTATCAAATATGGATGCTCATGATTTTATTAGTATGTGCTATGTCGAGGAATGCAAGATGTGAGATACGGGTAGGCTAAAACAAGAAGAAATAAGTTTTCATTAAGGCCATTAAAGCCAAGTAAGGCCGCTTTGTACTTAGTTGACAGATTGGCATGATTCTCCTTCAAGCGTCATGTGGATTTTGTAACTTGTTTGCATACAAAATGTTAAATTCGGCTCATGGAATAATTGCTGTTCAATTGGAATAATGTTTCTGTATTCATTTTTTTCACATTAGATTTCTTTATAGTTGAGTGACGGTGATTTGTAAAGACAATATGGTTGGTGGTTAACTTACATACTATTCAGTTGTAACTGGACTAAGAGACTTTGTTAAGCTTATCTTTTTTTTTTGCGGTGATCAGCACAAAAACAATTCTCTTTGTTGCTATTGCATTGAAGATAAAGCTATAATTCTGTATATTGAACATTATGATCATTAGGATAAAGCTATTCAGTTGACATGGATCTTTCTATATGTTTTTAAATGCCTGCCCCTTCTGGTTCAATTTAACCAAACAATAACACTACAGTGCCAATTGTGAGCATTGTGGCTAGATTCTTGTATCTTTTAATGCTTTCATTTTCATTTGTATGTAATGTTGATGAAAACTGAAAAGATTTGCATGTATGACCTTATATTTGATATCTTTACCAAAATTGTTAATACACAATTCTTGCCTTTCCGCTAAAAAAACAATTCTTGCCTTTTCTCAGGGTGCTAAACCAGATGCTTGGAGGGAGAGGTTAGCTTCAAACGCATTTGCCCGTAAGGTATACATGGTCAAACTCTATATAATTATTTGAGGGCAGGGATATACAGAACAAATTATCCTGACCTGTTGAGTCTTTGTGCTCTTTTGCTGTCTGTCTGCAAATTAACCTTTTTCTTTGTATATGTTGTAGCTTCTGGCTTCACCGATTCTGGTAGAGGCTCTTCACTTTCAGTATGATGAGAGGGATCCCAATTCAGCCTTCAACTGGTTAGAGAGATGGACCATAAGCCGTGTCTGGAAACCCGTTTACCAAACAAAGAGAAATGCTATTGCTGATGCCAAACCGCAGACAAAGAGGGCCAGTTACGCTATGGAAACAGAGTCAGGGAAATTGAAACGCAATGCTCGGAAGAGTTCTGCATTGTCAGTTGAGCCCATCCCTCTGACAAACATGCCATTGGAAACTGAAAAAACAAGAAGGACCCCAAGGAAATTCACTAGCACTCCTGCTGATTCAGTGCCTGATAGCCAATTAACTGAACTTGAGAAGGTTAAGCGTAGCCTTCGGAAGGTAACTAATTCCATGGCCGAAGCCTCAAAGGTATCTAGTCCTGCTTGTGATACCCCTGACCACCCAGAGATCGAATGTGAGAAACCACAATGTACTGCACAGGAAGTTCCAGTTTATCCTGAGATTCAAGAACCTAACCATGATGATCAGTTAGAAAATGCGAAGGTGGATATCTTTGTACCTGATCTCAAACCTGAAGGGGAAGTTACTCCATATGCAGTCACAAGTGAAGAAAAACTTGATGAGCCGGCCGTTGTTGCTACAGCAGCTGAAGTTATGCCCCTGCAAGACATTGACAATGAAGAAAATGCTTTGGTGAATGATGCGGAGCAGAGATCCAGAGAAGAACCTCTCTCCGCTGAAAGCCTTAAAGGTGGTAACAGGAGGTCTTCGTTCTCAACGAAGCCAGAATATCCAGAGAACGGCTCCAAAAACTCTCCAGCTGTGCCCAGCTACATGGCTGCAACAAAATCTGCAAAGGCGAAGCTGCGGGGACAGATATCACCTAGACTTAGCGCTGATTCAGCAGAAAAAACTGTCTACACACGCCGCCATTCCCTTCCTTCCCCTGCCAATGGTAAGCAGAACTCGCACTCGCCGCGTACACAAAGGCCAATCCATCCTGGTACCAAAGAGGGAGCGAAAGTCGACAAGTCTATGCTGTCATCAAGAGACGCAGCCGGTAAGTAGTAGAGGATCATTGAATACTCATGTTTACATTAGTAAGACTGTTTGATGACTTGTCAGACTTTCTTACCTACTTCAAAGTAACCATGTACACATAGTATGTTTTTGCCTACTTCAAAGTAACTTTTGTAATTGATAATTAGGTTGTTGGTAGAAGCCAATTATTGTTATATACATCATATTCCGTCGTCTTTGTTTACATTAGTAAGACTGTTTGATGACTTGTCAGACTTTCTTACCTTCAGTACACATAGTATGTTTTTGCCTACTTCAAAGTAACTTTTGTAATTGATAATTAGGTTGTTGGTAGAAGCCAATTATTGTTATATACATCATATTCCGTCGTCTTTGTTTGCTATAAAAATTGAGACAAAGTGTTCCAGGCCCCAATTGTATTAAAGTCATATATCTTTCTTATTTGGTTCAACAAAAGTAATCAGATAATCGACTAGTATTGTCTTTATTTAGCTCCACTATAAATAAGCAGATAAATGAACTGAGCTGTTCCCTAAGATCATTCGGAGCTTGCTTGCGCAAACACACTGGCATCCATGAATACCATACGAGCCAATTTTCTGAACCGGGCAAAGGTTCGAAGAAATAAGCATAAAATCATATTACTTTTGTGCTGCATTTAAACGGCATTTGCTACAGATAGTTGGATTGTGCATCATACTTGCCACTTGAGCTCAACTCGCCTTGTTCTAACACTAAATCCTGTGCAGAGAGACCGATGAAAGCCGAATGGAGACGGTGAAGACGTGGGTCCTCCGTTCCATTTGAGTAGCGTGGCGACGGACGTTTGGGTGGACGGCAGCTTGCTCCTCTGATTGTTTTGCTTCTGATGTAAAAAATGTTCTCTGTGGTCTGCTGCCGCGACATCAAGGGGACCTGCTTAATTTGTTGTGGTGTTGCCGACCTGTTGCCTGAGTTTGACTTATTTTTATAGGGTTTTGCGACGGTCATGCCGCCTTTGGCTTGTGTCTTGTATAGCTGAAGTTTGTCCCCCAGTTTGTTTTGGTTCGCCTTTGAGATACCGTGCGTTGTTAAGTGAGATCGAGAGACAGACAAGATGCTGATGTTAGCAAGTACCTGGGCTGTTTCTTGGTTGGTTATCCCTGATGCGTTTTCTTAGCTGACAGTGAGTGTGATCCATGACATAATTTGGTTATCCATCCCCTTGTTTTCCCAGCTGCATTTTCTTGTCAGTGATGATTTCCTTGTCATAGTTGTGAGTGTGATGTTGCCTCTGGAATAATATTTCCTTGTCATTCTGTTAGCAAACATTTTTGAAGGGGAGCAGAGTGTACAGCTTCGTTAGCCTGAACATTCTTTATGCAGCCTAGCCCTATTTATGATGCGTGTTTTCTCGGTCATGTCCCTGGCGAGGTGAAGCAAAAATCACCGCAGTAAAACAATCCTAGTTTAGCTGGATGTAAATCGAACTGAGAGTGCCGTTTTGGCTATGGGGAGCATATGCTCATGGATGAACACTAAATTAAAAACAACTAGTAAATAAAATTTGGAAATTCTGTTTTTTTTGTGTGGATGTTCATGTTAGTCTAACAAGTGTGCTTGATAATTTTCATGTGAAACGGGATAGCAGTGCTTTGTTGGTGAAAAAACAAAATTAAGTGTAATATTTGATGCTCGATTTTTTTTTGCAAGTAACATTTTGGTGTGACAGTGAATATACCTATATTTTTTTTTGTTATTTACAACTTTTTTTTTGGTGGGCAGAACCGCAGAAGCATATACTGCCAAGAGCCGAATTGGAATTTTTTTGCTGAAAATTGAATTCATGTCAGTTGATTTTGTTTGCGAAGGAAGGGAAGGAATAAGGAGGCACATTGGAGCGCCGAGGCCACTGCCTACGGTGCCGAAGGGAGCGTAGCATGCCCGGGTTGAAGGGTGACAGTTTGGGGGTGCATATTGTTGCACTTGTTTAAAGGGATGGCGCCGACTCGGAGATGGGAGGCGGTGAGGGAAGGGCAGGGCGGCAATGCTGGTGCAGGAGCGCCGTTGGCCGCAGGCGATGGAGGAATGGGGGGTGATGAGTGGAGGAGGAAGGTGGAAGAAGCCTATATTTTCAGCAAAACGACCATCTTTCTGCCCAAGAAAAAGGAAATATTCGATTGCCCTATATATATTTTTTTCTAGTCAGGTCAGATTGACTCTAGCCAGGCCCAAAACGACCATCTTTCTGCCCAAGAAACGGAGGGGAATGGACGCCGGTGCAACCTTCACCAACCGGCCGCATATTCCTCTCCCCAACAACACCAGCCATTTTTTCAAAAAAAAAAAACCCAAAACACGAGGCGCATCGCGTCAGTCATCCGCGTACGGCCGCCTCATCTTTTTCTTGAAGAGAAAGAAGGTCGCCAGCGATAATCTCGACCCGGCCCGCGGCAGATCCGGGCCGTCCGTCTGAGCCCCACGCACCTGGCGATAAAACCAGAGCCCTCCGTCCCATTCATCATCCCTCCCTCCCTCACGGTCTCCGCCCCCTAAATCGCATTCCCTCTCCCCCCGCTCCTCGCCGCTGCTCGCTCGCCATGGACGCCGCCAAGCCCGCCCCGGCCCCCGCCCGCCCCGCCGGCCCGGGGCTCTACGCCGACATCGGCAAGAAGGCCAGAGGTCGGGCACCTTCTCTCCTCCTCCTCTTCCCCGCCGGGGCTTTGATTCGGTAGCTTCAGTGATTGTTTGATTTGCTGACGCTTGTTTCTCCTCGGGCGGGATCTGCAGATCTCCTCAACAGGGACTACACCGCGGGCCAGAAGTTCACCTTCACCACCACCGCCGCCAACGGAGCTGTGAGTGCCTCCCTCCCTTCTGTTCGTTCTCAGTCCTATGCTACAGCTTGTCCTGTTGCTCATGTGCTGCTTGCTGTGGTTGAGGTCGCGTTTATGCGGATAACGGATTAGGGTTTAGGATGGACTCGGGAATGGTCTGGTTTTTGCTTGCGGAGACCCGATTCATGTTGGTGACTGTCCGTGGTTGCCCTGCCAGTCCCCTGTTGAAGATTCGTGCTGACATGTGCTGCGATTGGTATCGTATTTACCGGTTTACGCGTTGTTATTGTGTGGTTTTTTGGGTTTAGTGTGTAGCAGCCCTTCTGAATCATGGCTGTAAGTGGGCTTTGTTCGCTTGTCAGGTCCCACTCGAGGTTTTGGTGTTTAGAGTGGATTGGGTTGTCCGATGACTTCCTAGCTGACACTATGCTTGCAGTGTTTGGAGGTTAATGCACTTTCGGTGTATCTCCAGTTTAAGTTTTTACTCCCTCCGTTCCTAAATATATGTCTTTGTAGAGATTTCACTATGGACCACATACGGATGTATATAGATGCATTTTAGAGTGTAGATTCATTCATTTTGCTCACTATGTGGTCTATAGTGTAATCTCTCCAAAGACTTATGTTTAGGAACTGAGGGAGTAGATGTCTAGCCTTTGCATGTACTCCCAACGTACACTAATGTAAGACGTTTTCCAGATCAAAAAATAAATAAATGTAAGACGTTTTTGCAGTTCTAGTGGCATATTAATTCTGTTCCATCGCTGCCTGGTTGGTATTACCAATGTCAGTTGGTTTTGCGTTTGCTCACATGAAGTGACATGATTGTTGAAGTACACACATGACTATGTAGGAACTTTTTTTCTGTTGGATTTACATGTAACTTCAGTGTCTGTATATCTGATGAAGTTTGCCCTGGTTGTAAAAATCTGTTCTACCAAACATGACACACTCCGGATTTTGTTTTAAACAAGTTGTATGTGTTTGTGAGCAGACTTGATTCATTCAGCAATAACGTGGTCTTGAGTTGAAGTAGTATCTATTACTCCTTACAATTTATTTGCTTGGATTAGAAGCTGTATACTTATTGTTGAATTTTACCAACCAGTATCCAGTGAATTTATTTTGGTTACCTGATGCATGCCTAGAATGTGCCTTATCTATAGCTCTGGTGTGTTTGATCATGGGCCACTGACTATGTTGTTTAACGATTATAATATCCTGATGGGCACTGCGCTAAAGATGGTCTCAGTTATGTTTTTGTGGAGCTACACCTAGCATGACCTAATCCAGAGAATTAATTATGTTATTGTACTATATTGTTGCGATGGTATGCTAAGTTATGGCCATTTTTGTTTTCTTGCTAATTATGGCAACAAACACAACATTTCTTTGTCAATGTTTCTGAACAAATATGTAGTCCTGTGCTTGAAAAGCTTTATAGTGTTGTACTAACTCTCGTTTTCACCTTTCTAGACTATTACTAGTTCAAGCACAAAGAAAAATGAAGCTATCTTGAGCGACCTCCAGACCCAGGTGAAGATTAAGAATTGCACAGTGGATGTGAAAGCAACTTCAGACTCAAGTGTAAGTTCTTTTCTTCTCCCTTTGTACTTGTTACTTGCCTAATACCATGTCTTTCATTGATGTTTACATCTCCTGAAATCGGAGTCCCCAGTTTCTGTATCAGTTACATTCGTTTTTCCCTTTTACCAGGTTGTAACTACAATCACTGTTCCTGAGCTGTACACACCAGGCTTGAAGGGAGTTCTTTCTCTTCCTTTCCCCTACCAGAAGTCTACCCCTGGGAAGGTATTATCACCTTAACTTTTGTATCCGAGTGTTGAATTATCTTTCTGATCCCCTCAGTGTGCATCTAGGAATGTATTACCAATTCCCACTTCTGTAGCTTAATTATTCACGTGGTTGTTTCAGGCTGAACTCCAATACTTGCATCCCCATCTTGGCATCAACGGCAGTGTTGGCCTGAATCCAAACCCTCTTGTTAACTTTTCTGGCGTCATTGGGACTAAGGCTTTTGCTCTTGGTATTGATGTTGCATTTGACACTGCCTCTGGTGACTTCACCAAGTACAATGCTGGATTGAGCCACACTAATCAAGATCTTACTGCTTCGTTGAATCTGTAAGTTGTTTCTTCCAGTGCTTTGTTGTATTGAGTAATTGTTTGATTTCTGGTCTTAGCATGTCGTTTACCTTCTACAATTCCCAATTGCCCTTAGCAATCTTTCCTGTTAGCTTCTGATTCCGATTATTTTATTGCTCTTTGCATGATCATGTGCATGATGTAACACTAATTTAGCCTATAAGAGTATTCATAAATGTGGTACTTATGGTGTTTAATTATCAATTTCAGGAACAACAAGGCAAACACCCTGGCTGCTTCCTACTACCACCAGGTGCAGCGCACCACTGCTGTGGGAGCAGAGATCGCTCACAGCTTCTCGAGCAACGAGAACACCATCACCGTCGGGACGCAGCACGAGCTGGACCCCCTGACCACCGTGAAGGGGCGCTACAACAACTTCGGCATCGCAAATGCGCTCATCCAGCACGCGTGGAGGCCCAAGTCTCTCATCACCTTATCCACCGAGGTCGACACCAAGGCCATTGAGAAGAGCCCCAAGTTCGGGCTGGCCCTGTCACTCAAGCCCTGATGTGGGATTGGCGGGTGCGTTAGGATGCTAGCATTTTGGTACTATCAGCTCTTGGTCCAGCGAACAAAGCTTGGACAGACAGAACTTGTAATGCCCAACTTTGGTGATGCGACAAACTTATCTGTCGTTTTTTAGCCTGTTCTACCTGAGGGGGTTTTCTACCCAGTTGATCTGTGCTACTGGTCGTTATGCACGGGCGTATTGCGAATTTGTGATGTCGTGAAATCTGAATGCCACTTGGATGTGCTTTGTGTTTGTGTTTGCTTTGTTATGCAAAATGCTTCCCAGAAAAACCACAACGCAAGTAAACAATCAGACAAACCACTTTTGCCTATGGTCTGCTCTCAGACCCATATTTGCCAGATGCAATCAACCATCGAAACTTTGTACCAAAGCAGTCAATTAATATGAATTGGAGGGAGTAATTTAATTTTAATAGGGAGCCACAGACTGCTAGAAAGAATTGTAGTACTTGGCAATTACAGGACTCCTTAGCTGACTTCTGGTTCATAGTGAGTTTGATATTGAGTTGATAACTATTTTTTTTCCAAAACAGCACACAATCGTTGCTATCACTAGAATAGAATAGAATTGCGATGGTTTTACTTTTGGCGACTAATAGGCGCCGGCGCACCGGCCGAACGTTTCGGCCGGTGCCTGCCAGCCGCGCGATCCTAGCGCTATCCTCGTCTTAGAACTGCTTCGCAGAAAAAAAAGAAAAAGAAAACTGCTGTAAAGAGGGAGCCGTTTACATGTTAGTATGCATCTCCTAATTGAGCCTATATTCCTTGTGTTTTTAAACTTGTAGAGTTCTTTGCATTCACTTAGCAGGAGGCTTTCATATAGTTTCTCAAGTCAAGAGATGTGAATCATATTTTAAATTCTTCGACTTATCAAGGCTGGCACACCAGCTCTTGGCAATGAGGTCACTCTAAATCTCGTCGTAATACTTCCGCTCTTGCCTTTTGAGACCTGCAGGGGCGGACGCAGGATTTGGCCAAGCCCAGGGCCCTAGGCTGCTACAGTGCTACTACAGTACTGCTACAGTACACAATATGCTATAGTCAACCACGCCCCAGGCCCAGGCCCCCCCGGCCTGGGTCCTGGATCCGCCACTGGAGACCTGTACTGGACACTTGGTGGTGATAAAGTTCTTGGATATGTTTTTCTAGTGGACAAGCCGAAAGGTGTGTTAATCCCTCTAACGAACTGGTTACGTTTGCACTACATTGATTGACAAGAGCAACTGGTTAATTTTTGCAAGACATAAGTGGTTCCTCTTTAAGAAGAGGTATATATGTGTTCCCGAGGGGAAATTTATCGAAAGGTTGAAGTTCCATCATTACAAGTGTACAAAATTCTAGTAGATTTACCAACACATTTCCATTTAATCACACATAAATCAAATTTATCATTGTCAATTTTACACTCGTGATATGTTTTGTCATGACAAAAACCTACACAAGAATAAACATTGTCTGGTAATAAAATATGGTTCTACTTATAAGTTATAACCATGAAAAGGTAACAATTATTTCCTACATAACAATTTGTTCCTCGAAAAGTAAGAAGATCAACATATGCTAGCACCAATTATCCATCTTGCACGTGCTAGGGGATATATAATGAGTTCTTGCCAAAAAAGTTCTAGCAAAATGATACTAGAATTAAATTGGAGCAAGAAAAATGGAGTAATGTTATTGCATTTTATTAGAGAACTAAAATATTTAAACCTATGTAAATAAGAGCTCAATCATCCATAGTAGTAGCATACTAGATCACGGTTGGTCTACGAAAATTCCAAGTGCCACCATATCATCACCGGTTTTTGTAAGCTTCTTGTCCATTAGAATAGAAATCCTCGCTAGCGCCCTCCCGCATTGAAGCATAGGCCAGACAATTGGACGGAGGAGGTGTATAAAAGTAGGAGCCGACCATGGCCATTAGTTGGAAGGGTGTAAATGAGAGAGGCATAGGGAGAGGGGATGAGGCTATTTGACAAAGCATGCTCGATATGAGGCGATATCTCGTGAATATAAAAGGTGGCATAGGACCCCCCCCCTCTCGCACGTGAACTAGTATGAGGTTTCTCGAATGCTCGATAGAGTTCGATCCACTACTGAAAGGAGGGCGAAATAGCATGGCTGTAGGGTGGGGCCATTAAAATGATATCCACCCCATCAACGATAAACATTGCACCCATGAGAGCAAAGCAATGCAGTAAACACGACCGAGCAGCTCCCATCGCTCAAGTTCCCTAGTAGACACTGAGTAGTGTAGCGACACTTCTTAACCAAAGTAACTTCTGTATGTAGGTAACGATGGGCCACAATGATTATATAGTTCAGTAACAAGGAAAGTTAAACATATGAATCTCTCTATTAATTCATATCCGAGGAGTTGCTTAATAATACACACCATGCATATTCTGAAATAGTGCATAGGAAAACAAATACCTAATTGGGAAAATGACAAGGGCATAAAGATTGATCGAGCATGTCTCCTTCCTTGGTCAAAAGCAACCTCTTCCGTATGTAGATAACGGTGGGCCACAATGACTATATAGTTCAATAACAAAGAAAAATAAACTTATGAATCTCTTTATTAATTCATACCCGAGCACTTCTTTAATAGTGCACACCATGCATCTCATGAAATAGTGCAAGAATTTTTTTACCTCATCGAGGAAAATGACAAGGGCATAAAGAATGATAGATGGTGTCCAATACAGGGGATGGCCAATGCCCAGGAGCACGACCTCATCCAAGACACGGGGCCCAGCAGGCCCAGCATGCGGAGCAAACCCTAGAGGGCGAGGGTGACCTTTGTGATGTCCAAGAAAGGAGGGCGGCAGCACCCTCGATCGCATCTACCTTGTAAAACCATAAACCTCTCTTGCCTATATAAAGGAAGGTCTAGGGTACCCATCGATCATCTATCCACAAACAAAAAAACTCTTGGTAGCAATTTCATACAACATTGTAACCCCTCGCACGAGGTATGCCTCCACTATCATCAAAACCAACAGGATGTAGGGTATTACTCTCTGAAGGCCCGAACCTGGAAAAACCCTCGTGTGACCTCTGATTCATGACTTCCAGCTGCACTTGGACCCCTACCGAGGGAACTGACGGGATTTCGCTCCGTCAATGATCGGGCATGTATCCTTCTATGGTGAAAAGCAACTGCTTTTTTGGCATTACTCATCGATAACAGAATAGGTTCATTAGCACTTCCACCCCATTATCTTGGACTAGACCGAACCTCCCGCATCTTCATCTTTGCCCCCAACTCGTTATTATCAACCATAATTACTTCTATTACGTCCTTCCATTTTATCATCTATTATCATACGAACCACAGACTCCCAAGAAATGCTCATATTAACCAGAGAAAAATATATGAAAATATGAGCTATCAACCAAGTTACAATGGCCCAGATGAACTTCAGTAGGATTGAATCAACTCATGTCGCTGAAAGAATAATAAAACACTACCCCGTGTTTCCTTTAGAAGACTTCCATGCCAGTATATGTTCACCTATTGTTTCTTTTGCCATCTCCGCCATCTCATATATATTCTCCTATGCATACGTCATTCTAACCCTAGGTCTTGTGAGCATGACAAAATGAATACTAGTGAGTGTTGGTCATTGCCCATGATGTCTCCATTCTCCACTATCAGACAAACAAAAGGTAATACTACGAGACAGCTGGGATATACAATGAGGAGCAGGCAAGGTATTATAGCTATTTGGGGACTATGTATAGTGAGTCCTCAATTATATATTATAAATATTAAAAATATATAGCAATAACACACTAAATAGTGGCGGTGCTTTGACTATAAAAGGAAAAGCCAACATGCATGATTTAGATAATGTAGTGGAAGTTTATAAGATTTGGACTATTGAGTAGATGATAGGTTTTTCAAGTATTTTTGCAATTGTATCTTATTTTATTTAGTCAATAAATATTGAGCATCATTTCAAAGATTCTTGTGTTTTGTCATTGGGTGATTACAGTTTTGTAATGAAGGCAACAATCCTGTATGATATATTACTCAAGGCAACATATAGAGACAACATATACGCCAACTTTAGTGTGGTAATCGAAAATAATTGTATTTTTATGAAATCAGGGACCTGAAACAAACATTGTATTAAGATAACGATACATATAAGGTGAAACACATTGTTTCTTACAAACATTAAATTATTGACTTTCCAAACAGGAACTTTAGCCATACCGTCTTCAGCATATTATGTTACCATCTTTTGGAGGGAAATTCGTTTATACACTTACCTTAATGATATAGCTTCACAAACATTTCCCAAACCTATGATCTACTACATCTTATTCATACATTGCCAAGAGGAAAACATGTCAATCCTTGTTGACATGGAGGAGCAGAATTTCCCATGCCATCCGTTACAACTCCAGTAGACCCCAACATCTGATGCTCACTCCACACTGGCTGCTGATTTACTTGGTGACTATATATGAAAGGTGGCCATAACTGAGGCTGGTTGTTCATGACTATGGATGAGCTTAGCGGAGCCTGCAACCCTAAGCTTGTTTCATTGTTGAGACCAGTAGAACCAAGCGTTTGCGAGGGACCAGAACTATTATTCATCGACCATGGGTCCTCATCATGTAGCCCAACATCGTTGATGCTATAACGTTGCGTCCCAAACGAGGCTCTTTTATGTAGCCTCCTAAAGTACTTTTGTGCATGGCTTGAGACTTGGACATGAGTTTTAGTAGTGACAAAGTGCTTGGATATGTTTTTCCAGTCACCACGACCGTAGACACCTAGGCCACGGAGAAACAACCTACAAAAACAAGGTTCATTAGAATTTGTTAGACTAAGTTGTGGAATGCAAAGATGAATGGTCGATTGAGTTGTTTTATTGAAGCAACCAATAATTTTAGAGAGACAAAATATCCCGACTTACGTAGATATACATGTTTCTAACCATTTCAACAACACACATGCTT